TTTTGTTAAAAAAAATGTAAAAAAAACACTTAAATGGCTAGTTAAAGAATTGCATAGAAACAAGGAATTACATAGAAATGGCAAGTAACACATTGAATTCAATGTTAATTTTTGAAGTAGAAAAACTGAAATAGTATTTTCTTGTAAAACAAACTCAGATAATCTGTTTTATTTACAACGTTTTTACAGTGTAACAGAATTTAGCTACTATTCACACCTTATTTTTATTAGAGCTAAAGTATTAATAGGATATTTTAAATATACAAATTAATAAAAAAAAAATTTTTATTTTTTTTTTTACTTTTTTACAAATGTAATTATTTTTATCAATACTTTTAAGTATTGAATTACACTCAATTCACAACAATGCAATTAAAGAGCCATTTTTATTTCCCCAAAGAACCTTTGATCAGTTCTTAAAAGAACCATGTTTTTTCCTAGTGTGAAGAACATTTTAATAATCTGAAGAACATTTTTCCATTTTAAAGAACTTTCTGTCCAATGGTAAGATTCCATGGATGTTAAAGGTTTTTATGGAACCATCAATGCCAACAAAGAACCTTTAAGCCTTTAAGGAGTGTAAGGTCCACACTTCTTTCTTCATCCACTATCTAGGATGCATTCACTGATTGTGTTCTCTGTTAAGAAATACATATGATGCAGCCTCAGATGTTGGTAACAGTGGCATACATGCATGGCTTGGACATCCACGGTTTTAATGCTCATCTGCTGCGCACTAACGCTCGTGTCCATGGATGTTAAAGGTTTTTATGGAACCATCAATGCCAACAAAGAACCTTTAAGCCTTTAAGGAGTGTAAGGTCCACACTTCTTTCTTCATCCACTATCTAGGATGCATTCACTGATTGTGTTCTCTGTTAAAAAATACATATGATGCAGCCTCAGATGTTGGTAACAGTGGCATACATGCATGGCTTGGACATCCACAGTTTTAATGCACATCTGCTGCGCACTAACGCTCGTGTGTAACTGTTTGTTGTCTGTAATCAAGTGTATTTTGATGTGGATGTTAATGTGTCTTGAAGACAGACATCTATAGACACGGGTCACATGATACCCAGAATGCACCCATTGACGTTTGTTCAAACAGACAGTAAAATAAAAGCCCTGTTTGTGCACAGAATGAACTCCCACTTCCCCCGTTATTTCAGAGTGGTACGACCCCAGTGGCCTTTGCTGAGCTTTCTTTGTGTGCGTTTGTGCGCTTGACAGACTCTTACTTCAGTAGTAACACCGAGAAGCAGCTCTGTTGTGCTGGAGGCCGGATTGGCATGCTGTGCCCATTGGCAGCATCCGCTAGCCTCGTTTACCCAGAAACGCCTCCATTCATGGCAGATCCAACATGGCGGCTCTTTACAGTGAGCGCAGTTGGAGTTAATGGGCCAGTCATGCGACTGCTCGACTCACAGCGGATCTATCCATGCTTGATTGATGAAGGATTCACATCAGCACCGTGACGCACCGTTCAGTGCAAACGCTTCAAACGTTGTGGCTCTCATTGTCTACAGGTGCAGCCATTTCTGGATGATTTGGGGAAAAAAAATTACTGGGTGAAAATTTACTTCAACCAAAATAACTACCAGAATTACCATTCATAACTTCAAAACTGTCAAAATTTGAAACTCAATAGTTTTACCAGGGAGAAAATCTTAAAGGGGTGGTTTACTGGGTTTTTTCTAGACTTGATTGTGTTTATGAGGTGCAGTCTAACATGTGTTAACGCTTCGTTTTTAATGTAACAGTTCATTGTTGGAGGTGAGCTGAATGAGCGAGAGAGAGAGAGAGATGCAGAGCAGGGCGACGCGAGGAACAGTATTAAGAACTGCTGCTTTTGAACATTGATTTAGAAACTTGTGAATCCATTAGAATCGAGTCTGAATACTTTCCGTACCCACTGTATATATAATATATTATATATATAGACATCAAATAATGTCTAATAAATTGAGTAAATATTCTATGAATTGTTTATTGTTCTCTATATATATATATATATATAGTGTATGTACAGTATGTATGCATGTATGTATATGTATGTATGTAATATGTATATATAGAACAATAAATAATTCATGGAATATTTACTCAATTTATTAGACATTATTTGAAGACAGAAAAAAAAATGCCCAGGCTGTCATTCATCTAATGCTAATAAACACAATTAGGACAGTTTCCAATTTTACAAATTATTTTTGATAGATAATAAAATAATTGGTATATAATACACATTTATATAATAATGCTAAATGAGGTGTAATGTAAATTGCTGAAAACGTATTTCAACTTATCTCTTAACATTCTTAAAAAAAAATTTCCCAACTATATGTCCAATGATGATAATCAAAAAATATTGTGTGATTTATCACTACATATAGAGTTTATCACTTATAATTTATGTCTTCATCATATGCTAATAATACCATGATACGGTTTGATAATCATATTCATACAGTATTTAAATGATACTTCAAAGAATACCATGAAATTACCCTCATGGTATCAAACCAGCACATCAATTATCATAAAACACCCACAACCATATGTAGTTAAATGAATAACAAAAGAGGCACAGATCTAGATCAATACACTCTTATTATTAACAAAATATATTATTAGACCGATTAAATTATTTAACATCTGCAAGTAAAATACATTAAACTCTAGCAAGGCCTGTTTTCCACACCATTTTCACTAAAGGAACACAAGAAATTATTACTTCTATGCACCAATCACAGCAACTCTCATTAAAACAGACAATTTATAATATTTATCAAAGCTCTTCTATAAACATGTTTTAATGCCCTAATCCAATAAAAGCTGTTTAAGCGAGAACGGACTCAAACAGACCGACGCACACTTCCCAGAATCCTTTGAGCCTCGAGCGTTTCCTCTGAGTGCCATTGTTCAGCTCTACAACTCACATCTATTATTGATGGCTTTGGTTTCTGCCGTCCGCTTCTTCATCTACACTTTGTCCTTCAAATTACGGCAACTATTTCAAATCTGGACTTATTAGGACGAGAGCAAACTACAAGAAAAAAGATGAAACGGAGGAAGTGACAGACGCCTTTCTTATGTGTTGTGATACACAAGTGTGCAAAGGATTCTTGAAAAGAAAAAAGGGAAAATTTGATATTTCAATTTAAAAAAATTAAATGTCCATGGACGAATCATCCACAATAATAGCAATAATATGTTAAATATTTAAAAAAAATTCCAATTTAAAAGACTAGGACTGATTAAAAATATACATTTTTAATAAATTCTAAAACAATTATGTATCTGTTTAATAGAAATTCATATTTCAAAATGCTAAATGAGACCCACATAAATTACTGAATTTAACTACTTATTTCACACAATATTTTCTTAAAATTCAAAAATTTTTGAATCATTTGTTAAACACTGATAATTGAAAAAGATCATCATATTTCTCTCTCTCTCTATATATATATGTTCAAATTTCATTCCAAGTTAAAAGACTATGATTGTTTAAATTATTATTATTATTATTATTTAGATAGATTAAGAAGTAATTGATATATAATAAAAATGTATATTTAATAACACCAAATTAGACTTATTTCACATATTTTCTTAAAATTCACTAAAATTATTGAAAATATTTTTATGTCTATGAATTGTTTAATACTGATAAATGACAAATATTATGATTTGTTACTATATTTTTTAATTTCAAAATAAAAAAATAACGCGTAAAATAATTGGTATATAATAAAATGAATAATGCTAATTGCTAAATGAGATGAATTACTAAATTTTACTTATTCCCCACAATATTTACTTATATATTATGTATTATCATTTTCATAAATTTGTTTAATTTATTTTTACTTAATATTATATATATATATATATATTAGGGATGCACCGATACTGGTATCGGTATCGGGCCCGATACTGGTCTCCTGTACTCGTACTCGTTAAAATGCCCCGATACCAAACGCCGATACCACACAGCGATAAGTGCCATATTCAGACAAAGAAACACCGACAACAGAACAACAGACAGCAGAATGGAGTTATAAGAGATTAAGGATGTCTACGAAGTATATGTATGCAATGAATATAATGTTAAACTTTCAGTATTAATGCCTGTATAGCTGGTGTGCGCGAGCTGATAAACAAAGCACGCTGAGTGGATTGAGCGCGTGGAGGCGCAGATGCGCGAGCTTGTCGAGTGAATATATCTTGCTCACAGATATCACTGGAAAGTTTGTAGTTCGGTCGGATACGTAAAAAACGTACAAATGCAATAAAAATATCGGTACTCGGTATCGGCAAGTACCAAAAATAAAAGTATCGGTATCGGGCGAGTACTGGAAAAAGTGGTATCGGTGCATCCCTAATATATATGATTTAAAAAAATGGAATATGCATGGATGAATTGTTCAGTAAGGTCAATAATATGCATTAAAACATTAAGATATTCAAATTTTATGCCAATTTTAAAGTCAAGAATTGTTGAATTTACTAAACAATTTTGAAACTTCTGCATACAGTATATTGCATATGCATCTTATTTACTAACACTTACAGTCAAACTTGACTAGTTAGTATGAGCTGGTTTAGGTGTATGTTTTCAGAGCAAACATCACTTTCCATGCAACTTTTCCAGATGTATTATAGAACGCAGGAGGTACTGTAAATTTCATTGCACTGACCATGGCAGCAGTCATTATGATCAAATGATGGAGAAAAGCATTAAAACTGGCCATTTATGTATAGTTTGCAATGTAGCATAAAAATTTACAAGTGATAAACGTTTCTTTCCAGCCGTAAAACTGTACTTTACGGTTTTTGAAGTACGTGTTTTGCTGTTTTATGTATCAGTGACTATCAACACATGTCAGTGTTTCGCTCACAGCATCATTTAGTTCCTCAGTGTCATTTTGGAATTGAAATGATGTCTTAATATGAGAAGTATTCCACATATGTGTCGTTAGAAGCACTTGTACCTGCAGCTCGTCCGTGGCGTGATGAGTGTTTGGCGTCTGTCCATCATCTGAGTCCGTGTTTGTGCACGAGCGCCTCCGGAACATACTGTGAAGAGGTAAAACAGCAGGATATGAGACGAAAATGACAGAATCATTTGATGAAAGTTAGCGTCAGATAGCAAAGCAGACAGATACAATACCGATACTTTTAAAGTCCAGTATCGTCGATATTGATACAGATACCGATACTGATACTTTTAAAGTCCAGTATCATCAATATCGATACAGATACCGATACCTATACAGATACCGATACTTTTACAGTCCAGTATCATCGATATTGATAGAGATACCGATACCTGTACAGATATAGATACCGATACCGATACTTTTAAAGTCCAGTATCGTCGATATCGATGCTGATACCTATACAGATACAGATATCGATACTTTTAAAGTCCAGTATCGACAATATTGATACAGATACCGATACTTTTAAAGTCCAGTATCGTCGATATCGATGCCGATACCTATACAGATACAGATATCGATACTTTTAAAGTCCAGTATCGTCGATTTCGATACAGATACCGATACCTATACAGATATCGATACCGATATCTATACAGATACAGATACCGATACATATACAGATACCAATACTTTTGAAGTCCAGTATCGACTATATTGATACAGATACCGATACTTTTAAAGTCCAGTATCGTCGATATTGATACAGATACCAATACTTCTAAACTGAACTTTTAAATTATGAAATGTATTAAATTATTAAATTACTAAGAGTAAAATGGGTAATGATACCCACTTTATTTTATATTTGAAACACATTTTTAACTTAATTGCAACTTATTAGGTTGTATATTTGTTTACACATGGTTAAAATATGTTTACAAATACTAATACTAATACAAATACTATAGTTGAACTATGGCCACTTTAGTAAAATCATGGTTCATTTTCATAAGGGACTGCCAGTGACAGGCTGTTGCACGCATAAAATGCAACCTTTTTATTCTGACAGTGTATGATTTATATTAACATTACAGAATAGAACATGATCAATATGAACTTTTAAAAATCAATATGTTTTAACGTAATGTTTATTGTGAAATAACTCAAACATATATGTTTTTTCTGTCCTCTGATAGGGCTGCCGTTCCCAAAAGCTTCAATGCTTTATGATACTTTTGGGAAATGCACTGTCAGAAGTGAGTGAACGCTCTCTGTGACTGATTGATTCTGTCTTGCAACATTTGCTTGTTTTCAGATGAGCAGGAAAATAGTTCTATCCTACACAATTATTCGCTAACAGGTTATTCGTCCAATTCAATGCATATTGTACGGATTAATTTGTTGTTGTTGTTGTTAAATAAACAAAATCACTGGTAAATAAAACACACCTTAGTATCAATATTTTTCTCACATCAGTATCGAAATATCGATACTTCAGGATCGATACACCCATCCCTAGTAGTTGCGCTCATGGAGGGAAAGTTAAGCGAGTTTTATTTTGTTGGTCGCTTGGTAAATATCGCATTGCTCCGCCCACCGTGGAATCTCATTGTCATTGGTCCAAAATCCCATGTGTTGCATTCTGATTGGCTGTGGTTGTGTCACGTTGCAGTTTAAATGTTTTAAATGCTTTAAAGGGGTGGTTGATTGTGATTTCGCTTCTTTAACGTTAGTTAGTGTGTAATGTTGCTGTTGTGGCATAAACAATATCTGCAAAGTTACGATGCTGAAAGTTCAATGCAAATGGAGATATCGTCTTTTAAAATTCTGGCAGTTTAATGCCTACAAAAGCGGCTCGTAGGGACTACAACGAGCTACTTCCCGGGTTGGTGACGTCACAAACCCAGAAATTTACATAAAGCATTAACACATGTTAGACTGCACCCTATAAACACAATCAAGCCTAGAAAAAAACAGTCAACCACCTCTTTAAATGACATAAACAAAACAGTACAACAGACATTATGAAGCCAGGGGAACAATGGCGTTTGAATGCGTATCTCTGAATGCTTGGTGCAAAACATATTTAATTGAAATATATTGAATAATATTTTTAATTTAATTAAAAAACTGAGTAATTCATTAATGTAAAAAAGTTTTTTTTTAAATTGCTAATGTAGATGATCTGGCGAAATTGGGCCATTTTGTGGCTAAAAATGTCAATATGATTTTCATGTAATTTACAAAAGTAATTTGAAAATTTGGATTTAATAAATTTC